TTTTTTTTGTTTTTTTTTTGAACTGATTGAGATGAATGTCGAGGTTGTCACTAGTTTGCATTCAGAATTTACAATAGGTGGTTTCCTCCACGTAATTGAAAGGAAATAAAATTAATAGCTGCATATCTATGGCATTTATTAGGTAATCCTTCAGTGTGTGTGTGTGTGTGTGTGTGTGTGTGTGTGTGTGTGTGTGAGCGCGTGAGCGAGTGAATGCATGCAATATTTCATTTTAGTTGTAAACTAGGTGAACCCGCGAGATTGCATCACACAGAAGGAAGTGCAGTAGAAAAACTAAGGCAAAAAATAATGCATATCCATGAATGTGCATTATGTTTCGTATTGGCCAAGATCTTTACACATATATACATGGATATTGTTTTGGCCTGTAGCAAATCCTGCTATCAACCTTTACTTAATGTATGTAACAAATATATGTAATAGAATTTCCAAATAATAATCAGAACTTCTTCGCCCCTTTTACATTTTCTGTAGATATAACAAAGTATGATGTATAAGAAAGTACGTAAAATACTTACAATTGACAGTTATAAACCCTTGTTTTAATGATTACGCAACAATATGTTCTCGAAGCAAGAACAGCTGCTTTTTCATTTCCCGCGAACTTGCCAAGATGCGCATCGCCCGTTCCAAGATTCCACTTCCCGTTTCCAGTCTAGCCACGAATTTCAAACACACATTTCAAAACAAGGATAGATGTGAACTATTCAATATGTACAGTGCTCTCCACTCCTAATTATTTTCTCTTCCTTTTGGTATCTCACTTGATTAAGACCGTTCACTGGGGGGCGAATAGGAGGGATATTAAACTAGTTTCCTTTACAGCTTTAATTATTTATAATGTGTACATGTGCATGTCAGCTAGAGTTAAAATCTTTCTACAAAAGATTCAATGAAGGTAAAATTAAGTGACTGGGTAAAATGTTCCAATTTACCATAAGATCTAATTTATTTCACATTTTGTGGTAAGTACTTGTTGAAACTGGGTATTCACATTTTTTGTTGCTGCAAAAAGATGATTGGGAGAGCATCTGCAGAAACTGGAACAAGAGGTCCTGCCCAGCGCCTTTTTGTGTTTCTTCTCGTCAGAAGAAGAGAAGACGACACGCAATCGACACGATAAACACCGTGGCGTAAGAATCATTACATATTGAAGAAATTGACATGGTTACCGTTGTCTGGACGAAAACGTTCTCGTTACGGATTCTATTCGTTATTCACGCTTTCTGCTGTTTACTTCCGCGCTGTGCCATGGAGACTGCCTACTGTGCTAGCAATGCTTGCCAACGTACAAAACTAACTTTCAACGCGCCCAATGCGCGCGTATTACTTAGCTTCTCAACACGATCGCTACAAAACTACTCGCGACCCCATATTATTAAACAGTGCAATCTTGTCGCGTCTTATGTGGAAGAAATCGGATTCAGGGAAATTACTACAATGTGCAAAGTTTCTTCGCCCGCAGGCCAGGAGGTGGTACAATCTACCGGTCACTTTTGGTAGCAGTTGAAGGTTTATTGCAAAGGTTTTCCTATAAAATGAATCTTTTGCTACTTGTGAGAGAATTTGCGGATTTTTTCGCTCTCAAACGCGGGAAGTTTGAAATGTGTCATCTTTTCTTCTTAAATACCTTTAAAGGTTAGGCAAACTGAATGAGCTCCAAGCGTGGCGCAAAATTTGAATTAATTTGACCGCCTATGTCCCAATACCTTTATTTTCGTGTTTGGTAGCAATGGTTTAGACACTCGGTATTAAAGAATCACAAAGCGTGGACCAAACAAGTATTACAGGAAGGAATATACTATGGAAACATAGTAAATTGTATAGAAACAAAATATATCCACTTCTGGCTCGACACATGAGTATTTCGGTCGAAAAATCTCCATTTGCTTGACGCAGCATTACAATACTTAACTCGACACTACGTACCCATTATGAGAGACAGTAAAAAGTCTCTTTCTTAAAAAAGCCGAGAAAAGAGACACGCGCAGTTTTTAAAAAGTTCTTTACGCTATCCAAGTACAAAGTTTAATCAAAGTAGAGATGCTACCACTTACTTGCCTCAATTAAATTTACGCACTATAATAATTATACCGCAATTTCTGTTAATATTAACACATCTCGGTCATCTCTTGTAATACTTGTTATAAATCGTATAACATTAGAAACGAAAATTAATTATTTTAAAGCTAATTTCAACACAAATTCGACAATTGAAACTATATTTCATACACCCAGGGTTGCCAAAAGTGTGGTGAGCTCTTGCCCCACCCATACTATTGAATTTTCCCAAATAACCTCTCCAGTGAAACAAAATTCCTCAACTTTGAAACAAAAAGTATTCTCCTAATTATGGACAAACGACATCAGCTGCCTCTCACAATTCCATTGATTCTCACTTAATTGTCTTTTTTGATGCATAAAAATGAGAGAAAATATCCACTATTGTTCTTTTCATTCATAATAATTGAATGAAGAATATTTTTATCTCGCCTAATTTCCCGAAAAAATCCCAAAACATTTCCCGTCCATTTATGATCCCCATTCTTTCCTCACCACCAAGAAAAATCCCCATTTATGGAACCAAATTTCCCAATCTGACAATCATGGACAGGCGTTTTGCCGTCAATTGATTTTTTGGTATCAAGAATTCATCAAACGTGGAAATGTCAATTTTGGTGAAAATCCTGTGCACGCTTAGGCGTTAGTGTTTTTGCACAGATAAATGGACAGGCAGACAGACTGCTGAGACCATTTTTTCTGTACGAAGAGCCAACAAAACAAGAATATAGGTAGTATACATGATTTTTGACTAATGTTTTTTTTACTACTGTTTAAAGGCCTATTTGATTTCGTTTAATATAATTATTTGAAATTACCTCTGGCAATGCCAATTGTTCATATTGTTTCTATTTCATCCCAGAAATTTTAAAACTGTCATATATGATACGGCTTAAGTCCAAATATAGCTAATTCAGGAATTAGCCAGTTAATTCGTACCTTAACGATTCGAAAAGGCTTGATGAATGTCGATGAACGGATCATTTCGGATATTTGCCGGCTAATTCATGAATTTTCCACACGAAGCTGTCTTAAACTAAGGCTATTGACTGAATGTGAAGCGTTTGATGTGTTCGCGAGTATTTTGAGCTGAAGTACTTTGGTATAAAACGTTTTGGACATAGTGCGTGCACAGTTATACAAGATTTTATATAAGGCTGATTTGTGTAAATCACAAAGACTGAAGACAAAAGGCTCGTTGCCCAAACTAGAAAATGCGTAGAGACTGAGGTTTATAGTGAAGTTAGTTGGAGTTGGGGCGGTATCACGTAAATATAATTTTACGACGGAGACAGCGCAATTCGAAATTACACACCTTGAACTCACCAGCCTCAGAACTTCCTTCTAACTATTCAATTCCCATTAATCACATATCTGCTATTCCTCCTCGCTGTAACGTACTAACCGTTCTACCGTAACGAATCTGTTTCTACTACGGACTTTATCCACGCATTTTGAATAAAGTGCAAATTAATAGGCTAGTTCTTGAATTAGCGGGGCGATAGCCTTAACTTTCACAAAGCTGACGTTAGCATGTAATCAACTTCTAAACGTTATCCCCGCACATATCATAAAATATAATAAATTTAAAATAATGTTATTGATAATTAAGTCAAGCAGTGTCGGCGCTAGGGATGGTCAAATCCGGCGAGTGCCTGGGGCCTCGCTTGTGCCCGATGATGGGACTGACGGGGGAAAAATTGTAAAAAACTGAAAAAGAAATTAGAACTCGAGAAAATCGTTATCGTAATTTTATTAGTCGCGGTACAGAAATATATTTCATAACATTTTTAATTGATGATTTACCATAAATAGTTAATTATAGTCATCACTTGTAAGGTAGGACTATGAAATTAAGAATGTCAGACAATATATATATATATATATGGTTCCTTCATACTTGCATATTTTTTATTAACAATCACTCTACAATTCAAGATATTTAGTCCAAAACTTCAATGAAAATACATGGTCAACATGTGCATTAATTCTCAGATTTACGCTGATTATGCTAACATTACAAAGACTCTTCTGAAATTCATATTTATTATTTCATGAATTTAACAAATTATTTTATTAAACACCAACTTAACACACCAAATTTTTTTAGCGTTTTAAGCTCACCGTGGAAATTGTATAATATGATCACTAAATACTTTAAAACTAGGTTTTATTTAAAATATATTTCCAACAACTTTTTCTAGCTTAAACGTTCTAATTTTTGTTATTTGTTGAAATACAATAACTTCTACAGTTTCTTGAGACAACTTTCATATTTTTGATTGTTCGGGTTGGAGGGGTGGGGGCTACGTTTTAGCATTGCTCCAGGCCCAAAATTTTCTAGCTTCGTCACTTAAGTCAAGAAAACGAGTTGGCCCATTGCCGGTTGTAGCAAGTTAAGAATACAAGTTCTTGGTCGAGCGAGCCAGTATTTGAGATGGGATCATTGGTTTCCCTGGTTACTTGCATGCGCACGTTGGGGCAGGTGGCGTGGGTCATCTCCCGTCCTCATTCATCATGCGATGGGCCGATCACCCGTCGCATGACACATCGAAAGAGCATATGACAGTGATTGAGAAAATCTTTGACACGCGTTCGAGATCCGGAAAGCAGTGACAAGCTGTGAGTTCCCCGATATGCGTCTCGCAGTGGAAGAATCAGATGCAAATAACTAAACATGATTTTGAAGAACCATTAATTAAGGAAAAAATAAGGCGAGCACACGTTTCTCACATAAACATGATGTGAAGAGCGCATTATCTTGCTGTTAAAATATAAGAATTAAATTATCACATGAAATAAAATAATTTTTTGAATGATTTCTCATAGATATCGTCGTCGATGTGGCTTGGTGATTTAAAGGGAAGTGCGGAAAAATCCGGTCCTCTCGGAAGTATCATTTCCTATGGATCGGAAACGATTCTTCAAAGAACCGTTCCGGCGCCCTGTTCTTTCACTCTCCACTTCCCAGGCTGCATTGCCTGGCTGAACTGCTGTGTCCGCTTGTTCTGTGCGGGAGAAGAGATTACATCTGAGGTAGCGCCAGCTCCTTTGGGCATAAGTTTCATAAAATTAGTTGCTAGCGACAGGAAAATATAATTGTTTGGCGACTACCTCTGATGAGTAATCGGTTTTCTTTAAATATCTTATAAGAAAATTATACACATTGGAATCATGAGTAGCATAACATCTGATGTCGACGAAAGGTAATGGTTATGTTTTACAAGGTGTATAATTTGGCTGTCTTTTGTAAAAGATGTTAATAAACTTTCACTTTGTACTTGTAGGATTGTCGATGAGGTGGAAGCTTTAAAAGCTATTATGATGGATGAAGTAATTGTAAAATGCGATGAAAAGTAAGTTTTCGTTTGGGGTATTTAATTAAATGGTTTGAACCATATGCGATATTTAAGATGTATTACGAAAAAACTACTTTACATGGGTTTGTAATGTTTAAATTTAGAGTTTTCTTCACATAGATTGCATTGAAATCTTAAAGGTAATTTGACTGTTTAGAGGGTGAAATGTCAATCAATGGAATCAACCTGTATTTTGTTAGCTGTCAATTAAAAGTTAATCCAATATTTGAATTAAGTGTTGATCCACTTGAAAATTGTTACTTTATTTCTCAAATTTAATTTCTATACTTATAAGTTGAGTGGTTAAACTTGTGTTGAGATTGAAATCATTCTAACATAATAGATTAAATTATGAGATATTTTTGTGTTGCATATTGTAAGAAAATTTAAGATTTCTTGTAATAAATATTATTATTATTATGCATGTTGTACATGATCAGAAAACTTAAATATTTAGTTTTTAGTTATTGATCTTTCTGGACATCTTTTTCTCCTTTCTTTTATTCAGTGGTTTCCCTTCGTCTGTGGAAACAGTTGTATTTCCTGCAACTGCTGATGATGCCATGCGGAAGTATGTTTGTGTCACTTTAGTTGTTGAGTTACCTGAAGGCTATCCAGATAAAACTCCTAATGTGATGTTGAGAAATCCCAGAGGTCTGGATGACTCAGTATTAGAGAAAATTCAGGTGGATATCAAGGAAAAGTGTTCTGACTACACTGGGCAGCCTGTTATTTATGAGTTAATTGAGGTAAAGCATTTTGATTTAAAATTCTTTAAACCTAACCTAAAAATTCGTCCTAATTTTTTAGTGAAATAGTCCTCTCTTTGCTATCTATAAGCAAAATACAGCAGTAAACATGCATTCGTTTTAAATTTATATTTCCTGTTCAATACACTAAAACACACAAAAGATGTTGGTGCTACATCTGAGTGTATTACAAGTGGTATTCAGTCGTTGACTATCATAATGTTGTTTGGGGTATATTTATGATTGTGTAATGGATTCCTTGTTATTTTGTAAGAGATTTTATTTCTGTTTTCAGCTAGTCAAAGAACATTTGACAGCTAGTAATTTGCCTTCTTGTCAATGTGCGATTTGCCTGTATGGATTTTCGGAAGGCGATCAATTTACAAAAACAGAATGTTATCATTATTTTCATTCCTATTGTTTGGCTTCTCATGTAGTAAATACAGAAAAAAGTTTTAAAGAAGAACAAGAAAAATTGCCAGCATGGCAAAGAGTTCAAAAGACTTTCCAGGTAAGATGCCTGTATTTTCTAAAATTGCGAATTATTCCCTTAAGAGATAATATTGAGGAAAAATTAATTTCTATTGTCTTATAGCTTATGAAATAGTATGTATTTGCATTGATTGTGTAGTAAATTAGGGTTAGATGTTTTAGAACATTTTCTTTTCTGCTAGTTTCAGAATTGTTTTCCATAGACAGCATGCAAATGAAATAAGTTGTTAATACTTTTGAAATACTGTCAGTAAGTTTTCATGTCACAAGTGTTGTCCAGGGGAAAACAAATACATTTATTGCAATATTCTTGAGAACGACTGTTTTTGTAATTTATTGAGAATTTAAATTTCACTACACATACTAAATATGAGTGTGATCTACAATCCCATGAAATTATAATTGTATTGAATATGGTATTTTTAATTCAACGTGAAACAATTTGTGTTTAATTTTTTTAAAAATTCAAATACTTTATAACACTATTTTATTTTGGTTCTTCAAATATATAAAGTAGTATAATAATCTATGGGACATTCGGTATTTTAGTAAATCTTGAAATTAATATGATGTCTGTTTCTAATTCATGAATAATAATGTTGCAGACTTTATGTACATGGAAATAAAATTTAAGAAAGATTTATTAAATAGTGTAAAATATCTATTTATTATAAGCAGTTGTTTCATTTAGATATTGCAAATTGTTACCAAATTAGTATCAGTTGAGTCGTTTGTTAAAATACTGTACATGGATGTGCCTTGTAGTTGTGATTATAGCAGTAATGATTTTGTTGATTCAAGTTCTGCTATATATTAGATTTTGTCAATATACATTTTTTGACCTCACCAAGCTTTAAAATACAATAAAATTCAATATAATTATTGTAGTTTTAGCTCTAATGTGGCCAATGAATTTATGTTAAAACATTGGTAGATATAGCAAAATAACAATACATAGCAAAGTTTGTTTTTTACTTAATGACTTGAAGCTACAAGATAATTATTGTTAAAATACAATCATCAGCTTATTTAACTTGGACCTCATTTGCTATTTAAAACTTCTGAAACATTTGTTTTGTGAAAAGCAGTCTGTGGCGTACCTATTAAAATATACGTGTTGTTGATGTAAGTAATGGTTTCATATGAATTTCCCGTTTACGTTCACAAGATCGAAACACGATGGTAAAAATTAATGTGAATATTGTTTAATACCTTCAGGAAATTTTAAGAGAAATCAGAACGTATTAAACTTGTAATTGATAAGTAATAACTTGTAATTGAAAGATTTTTATAATTTGGAAAGCCTATGCTAATTTCTGACGATGCTGCAGTACTGAAACTGCACATTCTAAAAATTACAATAGAAGGGGCAGTTACACCCTTAGGATCATGTAATACTAGTATTATTCATTCATTTAATTTATTTAGTTTTTGAAAAAGCAGTTTAAAAATGTATGTGACATGAGAAAATACAGCCAGCTCACTTTTTCTTGAACTCTGCAATCCCTAACCCTGCTCTCTTACGATTCTTACACAGTTAAAACATGAATAAAATTGAATAAGAAAAGCATTTCTGCAACCACTTAATAAGAGATATTCACTCCTGTGTAATTGAAAATATTTGAATCAAGTGATCTACAGATTTATTTGCTGGTGCTGTCACTGAAGTAACTGCTTCCCCCCCCCCTCTAACACTCCATGAAGCTCAAAAAAATGTCAGAAAAGAGTGGAGATACTTTTACTGTTTAGATGTGAAGTAAGGGGCCATCTATATGTTTGCTCAATAGAGCAAGGGAATCAATAAAAATCCCTAATAAGGTGGAGCAAATGATCCCGAAATGGATTGTCGTAATTACTTTTGGTTAATTAAAACCTTTATTAATACAATTCATCACTGTTGACTATTACAAAGTTGTAAATTCATCCAGGCAAATTCTAACAAGTGTAAGATAAGAACAGAAATATGGTGATAATGTTAAAATTTTTTATCACACTGCTTCATTAGGTAGTAAATATTGATTGTACATAAGTTCATTCAGTTAGGTGAGCGAGTTCCTTTGGTAATTAATATTGGTACTTATAGTTGGAACGATTTAACTTTATTTAACTTTTCTGAATGAATGGGGAGGGGTAATAAAAAATGTATTTGTGAAATCAAATCTGGATGTGGTATCAGAATTTTTTTTATTGAACGATTTTTTTAATGCATGTTTAGGAAACGTGCCTGAAGTTTCAAGCCTTCCTGATTTTGGTGAGGGAGAGAGTGTAGGGAAGAACGGTTATAATAGCTTTTGAAAGAAATCTTAGGCAAGATTTTCACGAACTTAAATTGCTTTTGTTAACTTCTATACTGTTATAGTTTTCTGATTTGGAAATGCCTTCTGTAGTGAATGCTTTCTAGTACTATCCACTTTGGTGAAAGATTGGCCTTTCCGTGGGCTGTTTTTTAGTATACTGCTCTGGGATTCGCCTGGTTATTGATAATAGTAACCTCGCAATAATACCGTTGAGCAAAAATCGTAACCAAAGAGAAGCAATATCGGCTCATTTCTGCGAGAACAGGCGAATGACAACACGGGCCAGCGAGCGGAATGCTGGAGTTTATAACTTCAATCGTTTATGGCTCTGTGACGCTTCGCGTGTATTTTGCCTTCGGTTCACACGATTAACAAAAAACATAGAGCCTGCCCATTGTGACCATTGTCACCAGTGGCGTTCAAGGTCCCGATTGGATGAACCGGTCAACAGCTGATACGTGCCAGGAGTAGGGTTGCACAAATCGCAATAAGACTTTTATGAAAAGCATCGTATTGGTGGAAATATTTTCAAAGTGATGGGATGATTGCCATATACATCGAACTTTTTCTAGGAATCTAACATTGTAGAATTGAGCTCTTAGTTGTGATGCGGGGCATTGATCTGATTTATTTTGTCAATCAATAAAAATCTGTTTGTGACGTAACGGGGGAGAACTTTTAAAAGAAGAGCAGTTATGGCAACTGGCCCCAGGCCGCGACCTAATTAGGGCCCCAATTTTTTAAATTCAAAACAAGTGACTTTTTACGTATTCAGATTTACCGCTTTGCTCCTCTGTTGCGTGAATAAAATAATTATTTTTAGGTGAGAGGTGGGCGAAACTTTTGTATGAAATATCGCATAGGTAAGGGCAGTGCTCTTATGAAGTGGTTTCTTGGTACTGTGAAGATTCTCGGTAAATTGGTATTGTGCGAATCTGCCCTACACTTCAGTCATGATGTGTTGATTGGTAGGTTATCTCTTGTTGTCGGGCGTGTAAACTCTTATTGCTATGAGTCCCGTAAGTATAGTGGCAGTGTTCTTCACTGGTGTGAACCCCGCTAGAAGGTTTGATCCGCGCGCAGACCTTGCCGTTTTTTCTGCATCCAGGTACTTCCCTCCAGCAGTCACTGCCCCAGTCAGGACCAGCTCTAAGCTCCCGGTGCGGCAGTAGTGAATGTCAATGTAAGTGTAAGGAGGTGAGGTTAGGACAAGGAATGGAGAATAGATCGCCCGCGATCCGTGGGCCATTTTTTAGGGTACTGCTCTGGAATTCATCTGTTATTGATAATAGAAACCTCCATATAATACCGTTGAACAAAAAGTCGACTTTTTTGCCCAAGTCCATCCATAGTATTCTCCATAGTACATTCTCCCTATCGTTTACGACATTCAGGTTGCAGGAAAACCTATAAAATTTAAATACCATTCCTGCAAAGAGCCGATGCATGGTCTTGGAACTGACGGACTTTCGTTAAACTATTGCTTTCTCTGGGTTATTTCCCATTACGCAAGCGTTTACAAATTGTTTGGAAGGGTGTTTCTATTGTGATATTAGTACTCGTTGGGTGTTATCTTTTTACGAAGAATTGGTATATGGCGAAGTCGTTGGAGCGATAGTAACATGGATAAAGTGACCCGTTGGCAAAATAAAATGGAAATAAAACCTCAATAATTTAATATCACAACACGGAATATAAACCCTTGTATAATCAATATTAAGAACGTTGGAGAATGTGAAACGTCGTGTTCCAGAAATTCCTGGGGCGTCAAAACGTAAATTTTATGGAGGACTGCCAAATAAAGTTGAAAAGAGAATGAAGACAAAGGTTTCCGAATAACTTGTAATTCCATTCTGAAGCTATTAGTAAATTTTGATATTTTGTAAAATGTACTAAACCAACTTTACATTTAAAGAATAATGATAAACAAAAAAAGTTTTGACTATAACATCCCGGAAATTACTTATTCGTAAATGTTCTTGAGTAATTTTCCCCCAACTTTCATTTTATCTCCAAATATATTTTTTAAATTTCGTACATGGTCGAATACAAAGGAAGTGATTTGCTTGTATATTTTGGATATTTTCAAATATTGCTTTGATTCTTTATTAAAATTTTTTTAACTCGATTTTGTGCATTTAATATTATGTACATAAATTCAAAATATATCTAATGTCTCGATTTCCTTACACCTAATATAGTTCTTCGTATTTCAGGAACAGTTCTGCAGTTTCAAATTTCAAATATGATCGATTTTTCGGGAAAATGCACTTTAACAAAATTCAACACTAAAAAAATTCAAAAGTTATTATTATTATTAACAAATTAAACAATTTTATTTAATAAACATTTTTAGATACTTACTATCGGGTATACAATTTCATTGTTCTACACAAAAAAAATAACACCACATTGTATAAATTAGCTTACATCTCCCCTTATGATTTTTTCTACGGTATATGCATGATGCAACTTACGTCTAGTGTGTAGGTGTAGTTTTCTTCTATGACGAGGCCGCTCAGTTGTCTATGGCGTCGCTCGCTCCGTGCAAGTCAGGTTCCCCCATGGCACAGCCCCCACCCCACTCCACTCAAGGCCAGGCCAGCGCACCGCCCAACCAGCGATGTTATTCTCCGATTTTCCTTTTTTCTCGATCTTTGATGCGAGTTAGGAGAGAGAGTACTGTGAGCCAATCGGGTACTCGCCAAGCGCCAAGAAATTTTAATCGGAGAAGGGCATGGCTTATACTTCCTCATTCAATTTGAAAGTGTTTCCACAACAACAATATTTGGAAGTTTCTCAGCTTTAAAAACTTTTAGTATTGCACTCATTAATGATAAATTTTCTCAAAATTAACTGAACAGAAAATGTAGAATATAATGTTAACATATCCATTGAAATCTCAATACATAATGATTTAGCTTCCTTTGAAGATATTGTTTTATAAAAAACACATTTTTTCCTAAGTTTTTCTCAATTTTCTGCTCCTCTAATAGTTAAATAGATGTGAGACTTAGAAAATCACAGAAGAACAAAACTTTTTTTCATGGTGATATTTTTGGGGGATTGATTTTGAAGAAATTTTTGTAATTTAAAAAAATGTGCCACTTTGAGTTTATTTATACAAGGTATCCTCCATTTTGAGAAACTTAATCTCTTCAGAGATCTTTTGAAGGTTTTTTGCCCACAAATATGAATATAATGTAAATATTAACTATGTAAGAGATATTTCAAAATTATTACATGTAATTTTTTTTAAATTTTTAATCATAATGGCGTGAAAGTGATTTAGTTAATTGTACTAATCTTTCCACCCATTTAACATAAAAGTTGTTTCTGAGAAAAAACGTGTATGGGTATTTTTTGAAATATGTTACAGTTTCTCTAAAATTTATCTGAAAATTACTTATATTACGGAAAACTTATGCATATCATATAAAGATTTAATATTGAACATATTTCATGGACAAGAACATGTATACCGTAAATATTGTAATTGGAGGGGGCCCAAAAGTTTTAAACTTTTGCAATTTTCAAAAATTCAGAGTATTTTAATACAATCAGACCGGTGTCATTTTTATTGCTCCACTTGGTCAAAAAATCTAAAGAAAAAAATTTCAACCACTTTTGAGAAAATTTTCGAAATTTATGAGGGGTTTTATATTACCTCCCCCCTCTACAATTAAGCCATCAGTTTCAAATCATAGTGCCATTGAGTGCAGCCATGTAGATGGTGGAATATCCATTTTTGAAAAAATCATTTGAACAGTTTTTGGGGTGGTGCTGTTCATCCAAAAACAGTGTAAAAACCAATCTCCCCTTTCTTATCCCCTTAAATAAAGTTTAAGTGGCTGTTCTTTCAGCTTTTTGCAACTATCTCAAAAATTATGAGAAAATTTATTTAAAAAAACAACTTTTTAAATCCCGCACAATTTTCTACTAATTTGTTCTTTGATTCATTTTGATAACACTTCTAGGCTCTGAGGCTATCAAGTTAGTATGAGGATAGTATTAAATAGTGAGTGAAAAGTGAGAAAGACCTGCTGTAACTCTGGCCAAGAACCTCTGGACACTGCACTGCCAAAAAGCAAGGTTCCAGAATTTATTCTGATGATAAAGGAGTCCTGAACATTACAACTTACATTTTTAAAATTTATTTTTCATGATCACTTCTTGGAAAACAGGTCAGGAAAAGTCAGGGAATTTAATTGATTTGTGAAGTATGTTATTTTATTTTTTATTACTTGGGGAGTGAAATTTTCTTACTAATTCCAGACACACTTGTTTTTACCTGCTTTCACAATTAAACTAAGTTAATATAAGAAGAAGGTTAGGGACTCTAGCGGGCACAGCATGCAGATGGACGACTCCAAAACGGGCACAGCATGCACTTCTCCCCATTGTGTCACACACAGTTTTCGGTTGTTTTTAGATGATAAATATATAAACAAACAAAAAATTAAAATAACCTTTTAGTCTTAGGGACAATTTTGAAATACATTATTTCTTCAGTAACAGTGTTATATTTTGTGCCCAATTTTTATTTGTGAAACAATTTTTATTAGTTCAGTTTTTGACGGTGATATTAAATTTGACTTGCACATTTACGATAGTTTTGCTTTTATGCAATATTTTTTTGAGATATTAAACAAAAAAAGACAACTTGTTAACAGGACAGAAATATATTAAAATACCAGTGTTGGGAAAGTTCGAAGAAATAAGTGACTATCCTATTTTTTATATGGGTTTTTGAAACGTCTTTTAAAATGCATATTTCATAAAATGAATTATATTCTTTTGTTCTGTCATCTGAATTGCCTGTGTTGTATCTGTTAAGATTTAAAGTACAAATGTATCACTACCTAAATATCCTCATTTGCTTTGACTTTCCTCCTATTCAATCCAACAACTCTGTTCCAAAATATGTTCATGTTCTTTTCTCTCAATATCATGGCAGGCTCTTTGATGAATTGCCCTTTGACACCTAAAGAAAGAAAAGCATGTTGCAGCAGTCATCATGGCCACTTTCAATGTCAACTTCACTGCTTGAACACGAGTTTGGTCGTGAATTGTGCTGTGCTCGCTGAACTATCAGCATTTGCTGCTTGTATACAATCCATGTCTAGGTGTCGGTACTTTTGATAATTGCATTTTCTCTCTCCCATCTATAGGCCTACCTCACTTAGATATTGTTTTTGTTCGTCATCTCCATTTTTTGTGTATTCTGGTATAACTTCCTTAATCAATGAAAGTATCAATGAGAAGTATTTCAGAAAGGAAATTGTGTACTTTTAAAATTTTTATTTCATATGATTTTATGAATACAATATTATTTTATTCATAGAAGGGTCTTCTGTTCTATAATCAATATTAATTTAATATGGTAATTTTTCAGTAGTAAGTAGCGTTATAAATATAATTCTTTGGAAAACACATTGGTGAACTAAAAAATGAGAGGAAATAATTTCATTTATAAACTAAGAGAAGCATAATAAAAATAAATTGGAAATGATTGTTTCTGTATTCTATGATAATTTAGCTAATTTATGGATTGAATAAATTAGAGCATTTGGTATTTTCAGGTTCAATGCCCTGTATGTAGAGAGCCTATTGCCTATGATATGGGCTTGCTCACCAGTGCTCCTCCGCCTTTGGATGTAGAAAATGCCAGGCAATTTGAGTTGAATGATGAACTCCGAAGTTTACAACAGAAAATGGCATCTCTCTTCAGTTACCAGAAAAGTCGTGGAGGAATTATTGACCCAGAAGCGGATGACTCAAAACTCGTACTTGTCACAAACACTCCAACGGTAATTATATTCTGCATTTTTATTGAAGTTAATTATAATATTGAAAATTACATGTATCCAATATTGTGCTTGCCAATTTCATATTAGTAGTTGAAAATAAAACAATTGCATTGGATTTTAATTGTTTGCACAAAGACAATATCATGAGGTCTACAATAATAAATTTTCATGGTAAGGCAATTAAATTTCAGTTTTTGACTTCAGTGCATTGAATTTTCATGCTCAGAAATTAAATAACCTCCAGCTGCTTATTTAATAGTTTGTTTTAAATTGATCTTGGTGTTGTGTATGGTTGAAGCATTTCTAGGATGTAGTAAATTTATCTTTGTAATGTACTTTGTAAAATGTGATGTAAAAGGAACTTCTTTTGTGTTTGGAGTGCAATTTAACTGTTTAGATGTGTGTATTTGTTTTCATTTCCATGATATCTTACAATATAGTTTTATAAATTGCATAATTCCATAGTACATTATAATTAAGAAAATGTGAATTGTTCAAAGTTGGTATTTGAAATATTATGTTAAGATTTTCTTGACAAACCATAATGGGTCACAATATGTTATTAGGTAGGTTTTAATGCTCTATATAGTATTAAAATTGTGAAGAAGAAAGTATGTGAAAACTTTTAACAATTGCTGAATTAATATTCATTTCAAATAATGATTATTTAGTTGTGATAAATGCTAAAGTACTATTAGGATTTTATTTGTATGAAATTGACGATGCAAGTCCCATTTAATTTGTGCCATTTATTTTTTGTACTCGTATAGAAATGCTGAAAAGTTGAATTCAGTAGGTACTAAAGGGACCTTTGTAAGATCCTGCACTTAAGGTATTCATTTTCTTATAGGATATTACTTTGATTTTGGAGATCATTCGAGAGTGTACATTGTTGCAATGTAGTACAATCCAACTCTGTTTAATAAAATTAAAATCCCCTTTTGGCCCTCCTTTTTGTGGAAATGTAAGGTCTTTATCTTTCTCTGTTGTTTAGAAAATACTTGGGAAATATTTACTGAACAATTTTCTTGATTTGTTTTAATTTTTGAAATTAGATATTTCGATTTTCTTCACAGTCCTCTATTGTAGTTCAAAAATTATAGTTTAAATTAGCAGAATATTACCAGCATCATGACCCTTGTAAATAAAATGAAAGTAAATGTGCTTGTCATAATCCTAGTTCCTCTTGTAACGGCAGCTTTTGTTTTCTCCAGGAGGAAGCCCCAGCTGGTCCCAGCTTACCTCCGCCTCCGCCTGTGCCAAAAACTGATAAACCGCCAACGAGCAGTGAAGGTTACGGCTTTAGAGGAGAGTGGCGAAGGGGTCGAAGTACTTTTGGCCGCGGGCGGGGGGGCTTCAGAGGGAGGAAATCCAGTGGAGGTTCAGCTCGAGGTCGGCAGTTTCAGCCTGCTGTGTCCAGATGACGAAGGCTCATATTAAGGTTAATTTCCAGCAAGAGAGAAGTATGGCGGATATTAATAATTTAAACATAGCAAGTCAACTTAAAACAACATTGCCTTTGTTGTTAGATGTAACTTATATCAACATTTTTGTGTAAATATTTCAGTTCCTGGAACAAATGACTTAACATACTCTCACATAATTTATGTTGTGATATTCATTCTTTTAGGATGCTTTATGTATGTCAATTTCAAATATATTATGGTAATAGAATTTCAATTTGAATTATTTATTACCTTATACCAGTTTTTTGTAAATGTGAAAATTAAATATTTTGTTCATAAACCTGTTTTTTTAATTTACTTTAGATGTTCCTCCTGCATCACCTTCCTTTTTTTATTTTGATGATTCTCCTTATTTGATTTTTATTACCATGTTTTTACCTCTATTTATATTTTACATTTGTGCTTAGTTTTTATATTGGGTCATTTTGCCTTTTATATACTACATGCTATTATGTTTACAACATTTTATGTTTGTTTTTAATTTGCCGCATAAGAGGTATTTTTTTGAAAGTTCTATTTTGGGACCATTATTGTGAATGTAAAACCTATCATAATTTATCTTGAGTTATTTTATTGTTCTACCATTTAGAATTTATGGAAGACAATTGTAGTCTGAAAATAAAATTCTACATTTTCAATTTAAATATCTATTTGTTAAGAGTAGCAAAGGTTTCCGAGTCTTTCAAAGTCAGGTATACATTTTTCACTTGTTAAAAATACATCCTAATGGTCAAATAAAAGTAATGCAGTAGTAACACTATATACATTATACCACAATGAATCTAGAACTTATTCCAAATATTGAAAATAGCACTCAATTTCTTGCATTATGCAGTAGTGGTGCTACTCGTTAAATGCAATAGTGTTCCAAAAGCGTACACTTTCTCACATTGTCTAAATTTGTAGTTTTCAAAAATTCAGAGCTCATGGAAAATGAGACCCACATCAGTTTTTAAACATCCTTTATTTTATCCCTGGAAAAAAATCTGAAGTGTGTTTGAGATTTTTTGCCTATATTTCGTGCAAAATTTCACGAAACCTACTCAAAAAATGGAGAATGAACTTCCCTCAAGATTCATCTTTAAGGAACAGATTTCATTAACGTAAAAATCCCTATCTTTAGTATTATAATTATAGGGATCTGCCCAAAAAATTGCACTTTTGCAATTTTCAAAACATTTGGGATTTCAATGTCCATGAGACCTGCACTACTCTCTTAATAGGTTGATTGCTGCAGTAATCAACAAAATGTCAAACCTTCTGGCCAAGCCCTTTCTTTTATTCAAACTGTGAGGCACGCCTCCTCAGGGAGGCACAAAAGCATTCTAATATTTTAATTAAATAATGTTTAATAATGCACTAATTATTTGTACATGAATAAATTACTATCGGACTGTTTATGTGCCTTCATTTATTTTAACAAATGGAGGAGCGAACATTTATATAATGTGTAATCGCATTGCTTCCATGAAACCAATATTGTCAACTATCAGGTATTTTTAATGAACTCTGGTAGTTCATTCCTGAAGCACTTTTTGAAGTTTGGTGCTCTGTAAATTACTAAAGTAAATAGTGCAAATCACTTGCACTAATTATTTTGTGCACTGTAAGTAAATAACAAAGTGTTCTTGATGGCCTTACTATCAGAAAAAAGAATATTTTTTTTATTAACAATTTAACTTTAATGAGGGGAGGCATGTGCAGAATGTTAGCTGAAGGGAGTCACAGCAGCAAAAAGTTTTAAAACTACTGTTTTACAGGGTTCTTTACCAGATATGTCATGAGAATCAACACTATTCATCTAGGTGTGTTCATCTATTATTACAGTCGTATATATTAAGCTCCCTTAACTTAACACTGATTTGAGAAGCAACTGCTCTTCACAGCTATTGAAACTTATCATGACTGAGAATCGAGTGTTGATGCCCAAAGCCATTCTGATCAATTCAATGAGCTTCACATTATGCTTTTCACGGCAGCCATTTTTGAGAAAATTTTGAAAGTGTTTGTAAGGCATCATGAAAAATACCATAAAAAATCAAAATATACATTTGAAACTCCCTAAGCCTAGAGTTCATTCAGATTGATCGAACACTATCTATTTTGAAGAAAATTGGCTGAATAGTTTAGGCCCTTGCGTTAGGCCCTTCTGGCTACACCACAGTTAGAGGATTTTTTTCTATATTTAACAACAGGATTTATCCACTTTTTTGATTCCATGGCCCAGCAATAAGAGTTTTTCTGCTGAAAATTAGCCATTTTCCAGGGCACGATTACATAACATTCTCTTCTTACAAAGTACCTTTCTAAGTGCGAGAAAGTAATAAGAATCATAAAAATAATATGAGTTTCGCCATTCACACTTCAGAAAGTGAGAGAGAGCAGCTACAACCTGAAACATTTCAAATACTTTTGAAAGCCTTCATCAAAGTAAATGCAGTTAAATTTCAAGATAATGGAGTTACTTAAGCAGAAATATCAAATATGTGTAAAACGTATCTTATAAATATTTAAATATTATATTATGGGGATATTTCATTTCTACAAACGTGTTACTCAGGTCTCTTTCAGTACAGTGGAGCGTGTCATAGGTTAAGAAGCCTCTTGTGGTTCCAGAGAAATTTTTGTCTATATAACTAAAATACGCAATCAAAGTTTTGAAGTAACAGGAAGCGCACGGCATGTTCTCATTGAAATGATTTCAATTATGTGAAATCACAGGTTGCCAGTGTAAAGAGGATGAGCGAACTTAAGATTAATGTGAAATGGATGACCCATTGTGGATTCATGAAGAGGCATTTATTGAAATCAACCTTTGCTATCCAAAACAAATTAATTACCTTGCTTTAAATCAATTCTGTAGTTAAAATAGGTTTTTTTAATATCATGCATAATATAGTATTGGCCTTAGAAGATGTGTAAATTTCATTTTGGGATATTGTGGTAGCAGTGTCGAGTATTTAGTTATGTTGTGATTACCAGCAGTGCTGTAAACAAATTATGTGGATTTTGTTCAGAAAATAATAGCAAGCTTAATTTTCCATTCAAAAAGCTTCCTGTCAGGTAGGTTGGAAATTGTTGCATCAACAGCTAGGTCATTACAGACCACTGTAGATATTAACAATACATTATGATATGATATGATGATGGTGAGGGGTGAAAGGACGAACACAAATACAATCATGCCCGAGGAGGGACTCGAACCCACGATCCTTCAGTCCGAGATCGCTATGTCACTACTGCCTTAATGATCTCTGTCATCCAGATGACTTTAAACCTTTGTTCTGCTAAATACACACTCGTTACTTGCTAGAATTGAAATTGATTTCAGTATAGCATACTTTTCAGAAATAAGTATGAATAAAAGGATTTTATGATTTACTTTATTCTGAGAATAAAGTGGTGTGTGTCAAAGATGAAGTGTCAACAAAGGTCACATCTCAAGTTTTTTGAATACTCTGTAATTGTGCATTCAGCTCTTGAATTCCTATCCCTTTTAACTATACATAGATGAAATTGATAAAGGTACCCAAAAGCATTCCTTGAAACAGCTCCCAATTTTTTTCTTTAAAATTGGGTGGGAAGAGTGCAATACATTAAATCACATGACAGTGCCATTTTAATAATTTTGAATTTTCAAAAATGATGCACACTTATTGTTCTAATATCACTCATATTTACATTACAAGTGTATTTTATAATTTAATGCATTATTGCTGACAATTATATCTATTGAACTTAATTAAATGTTTGATATAAAAATCTTCCTGAGTTATTGTCAGGAAGATTTTCCAAAGATTAAAGGATTTTTAAAGTAGCTCCAATTAAATCCCTCCCCACATCATACCAAATGCTTCCATATTATTTCAGGAAAGAAAAGCAAACTTTTCTGTTAATTTAGTTGATCTATAAATATATTCTACATTTTCTGTAAAGTAACCTAATTTTGTTACAACTTTTGTAATGAAAGAGCCATTGAAAGATTTTAAATTAAAGAAACTGTTAACAAGAGATTTGGCTATGAATGGTGTTGAATGATATTTAGAAGAAATTTATTCATTTCAAAACACATGATTACTTACATACTGTCTAAGTACAGCTTAATTCTAAATTGAGTTTTAGGAGATACAGTAAAACTTGCTTCATGTCTGGAATCTCAAGGGACCAGAATTGATTTCTGTATGAGACAAGATTCTGCATTACACAATGTTATAATGTAGAATTTCTGTTTGGCAGGACCATGATTTATATTCACATTATATTTCCAGATTGAACAAGTTTTATTGTAATATTTACAGAGTGATCTTTCCTGCAGTTTGAGAGTTTTTAATTATTATAATAAAAGAATAACATATAATTATTATTAGGAAGAGGATTTTTATGCCCTAAAAAATCTTGAAATATATTATAAAAATAGGAATTTATGACCTACAAATTCTTAAATAAGGACTTTAATATGCCATAAAAATTAACAATATTTCGTATCATGCATAAACCTTTCTTGATAAAATTCAGGACAAGTATGCCTGGAATGAAAAGATACATTTTTGTGCAAACAGAATACAATCTACCTTACTTCGCGAGAGAAATAACACAGTGCGACAATGAAATTTGCTGCAGAACAAAATTATGTGATTTTATTGTAATTACGTGCTCTAATGTTTATGGTGAAAACCACTGTTCTCTATCTCCTAAACTTTTTCTGAAAACGCAATTTTATCTGCGCTCGACTGCCTTATTTATATCGCGGCGCTTATCACCTTCTTTTATTTCAGATATTTTGCCTCGTGATGGGTGAAGAGAGGGGAGGGGGAGACAATCGTTTGATGTATGCAAAGAAAAGTTGCAGTTTGCTTCGGTCAATCGATTGTGTGATCACACTGTATTTATTCTTAAAGTGTGTAAATCTGCTTACGTGAAGAATATTGTCTGTGCGTGTTCGCGTGTTACTTATATTCAGTGATGTGTAGGAAGTGTGAAAATTCACCAAATCTTTTCTGTTACTATGTCTGTGGTGTGTTTACGACAGTCTCAAAGACATCCCGTTTCTCCGATCGTCAAAAAGGCGTACGGGTTTATCTTGAATCAAAGGTAGATGAGGGTAAGCGTTGGGCACAACAGAACTGTTGCTCACGTTGCTCCCAATATTTAAGAGGCTGATTGCGTGGGACCATCCATCTATGCAATTTGCCATATCACAGTTTTGGAGGGAATCTAGCAACCATATTAAAAATCGCTACTTTTGTTTCACGAAAGTAAGAGGAATGTCAAGTAAATCAAACACACAGAGTTTCTTATCCAAATTTGGAATCTCCAATTTGCCCAGTTCCGCATTCTGATTGTAACCATCAAAGGAATGGACACTGGGGAGATGAAACAGACGATGATAGTAACAAACCAACAGATCACGAAGATGTTGATTACACGTCATCTGCTGCACGGCTACAACCTCAGCCGTTGTGGCAGGCGGTTTTCAATGTTCACAATCTAAATTTTCTGTTATTAGTACTTCAAAAATTAAAGAAGGAATTTTCATTGAGCCTCGGATATGTGACTTGATAGAAGATTGCAAATACTGCTACAGAAATATTGTTACCCAACA